GGTTAGCAAGGATGGTGGAATGTGATGGACATCATTATCCAAAGTACATGTATGAACACACAAATTGGCATCAGCATTCTTTATATACAACCAGAGATATGAAAAATTGTGGTATATATGTGTAAGAAGAATTGAAATGTATTCCACTGTCATTTATTTTTTAAATCAATTAAAAATTTTTTAAAAAGAAATGGAATACCAAGAATTAGAATGATATTTTCAATGATTCAGAATATCTGTTCTTGGGCTGGGGATGTGGCTCAAGCGGTAGCGCGCTCGCCTGGCATGCGTGCGACCGGGGTTCGATCCTCAGCACCACATACCAACAAAGATGTTGTGTCCGCCGAGAACTGAAAAATAAATATTAAAAAAAATTCTCTCTCTCTCTCTCTCTCTCTCTCCTCTCTCACTCTCTCTTTAAAAAAAAAAAGAATATCTGTTCTTCACGCTAACATTTGATGCAATTGCCTTTCATAATAAAAACATTTTCTCCAACCCCCAAAGCAAAGTGTGGGAAGAAGCAATTATGTTTGGGGAATGAGTTTTTCAAGCACAACTCCAGTTCAATCCATCAAATATTTGTTTAGTGCTTGCTCTATTAGGCTGTCCTAGTGAATGAACCTACCTCTAGGTTGGTTCCTGGCATAAAGGAGTCTATATTATTCTTGTAATCCAGCCCTTTGCCACTAATGTGTTTACTGCAAGTGGTCACTGTGAATTTCTAAGAGGATAGCTCTATTATTGCTCTGCGGTAATGTTTGTTTAATGCAAAGCTTAATGAGTCTATTCTATCCCAGACCCATTTTAATTGTTGCAAAAGTCATCAAATTCAATGGAATTTAATGGCAAAAGAAAAGGAGAAGGTGACAATTGCAATGGATGGAGTTGAATGCATTGTGTTGAATTCCTATAAAATTGATTATATGTTAGTTTTTGAAAGTAATATTTGAATTTAACATTTTATCTTAGACATAAACTTGAAATTCATTGTGTAACTTTGTAGTAGACCCATAAGAGACATGTAAAAGCTAAATTATTCAGTTTATTATTCCAGTGGAATACTAAATGATTCTAATGGTAATGATTCTAAAGGTAAGTATAAAGAAGTTTCTTTAATTGAAAAATAGTGGTCTTTTATAACTTTTGGTTTTTTTTTTCTTCATGATGAATTTTCTATAGCTTTTCTTTCAGAATAAAAGAGTAGTTATCTTAAGACTCTAGGTAGTTGCACACAATTGTTTCATTTTAAAAAAAAATAATAAACATTTTTTTTTCAATTTCTGAAAGTCCCTGGAGGGAAAAATTGTCTCTCCTGATACTTTGCCTATTTTTTGTCTTTGTTCTTAAGGTTTGAAAAGATGTGAATAACTCCCATTCCTTCCTTCTTTATAGGAATGTTATTTTTAACACCACTGTGCTTTAAAATGTAAACCAAGTATAAAGCAGAGAAATAAAATTCATTTAGCTACCACATTAATGACAGATTATTAAGAACTTGGAAATCAATTGTTGGGCTAAATTTTGTCTTCTTCCCTAATTCTCTTAAGCCTATTTGTATATAGAAGCAGTTTAATAAGCAAATAGGAAATTTCATTTTAAAAAATCATTGCTTATTTCTATTATTAGCAACAAGCCCCTAAAATAACTTCAACCATTTAAAAATATATTTTAGGTATATCCTGTATAGAAGATGAACAAATGATAATTTTATATACATATTCACTAGGTAATAGTTATTACAATCAACTAATTAACACGTACATCACTACCTACACTCTCTGCTAGATCCCTAGAACTTATTCATCTTATAACTGAAAGTTTGCACTCTTTGATAAACACCTACCCATTCCTCTTCCCCAGCACCTGGCAGCTACTTTTTACTCTCGACTTCTATTTGTTGGCTTTTTTAGATGCCACATATAAGTGAGCTCATACAGCATTGGTTTTCTGTGCCTGGCTTACTTCACTTAGCATAAAGGCCTCCACGTGCATTTATACTATTCCCAAAGACTGTATTCCCTTCATTTTTTTGTAGTTGAATAACATTCCACTATGTGTATTAATAAATATACCACACACATTTTGTTCATTCATCTATCGATATGATACTTAGGTCATTTCCATATTTTCAGAAATTATTTGGATTTGTTTTCCTAAAACTTGGTAGGATGGTGATGTTCTTCCATTTTCTACCTGAAGAAATGGGAACCCAGTTCAGGAACTAACATTACTATGATATTAATAAACCCTAGCATTAAGAATTGGGAGTCCTGAATTTCAGTTCTCCCAACTGTCTCTGGCTTTAGGTTACACGAGATACCTCTAACTTGAATCTACTATCATAATCCTTTATCTAAAATTATAAAACAGTTGGAAATTAAAGATTGATGTTTTGAATTTGAGGGAATAACATTTTTTTGACAAAATGAAATGCATGTAGTTATACAATACATGTAGTTATCTGAAAGAAAAATAATAATTTTCCTTGTATTGAGTGATGCTGTATTTTCGAGTTTTCCAAATGACATACTTCTGAAAAATAATGTCTCCAGATGTAAAACTTGATAAGAGATACTAGTTTGCAAATAATCTGAATTAAAAATTGAAACCAATTTTCTTTTTTTAACTAAAAATCTTCTCCAAAGCTAAATTATATTCTAATAAGAATGACTCCTAGAGGAGACTATTTCACAAACTTACATAATCATAAAAACTCTTTTTTTTTTTCTCAGCAGAACATCTGTTTAGTAGAACAATTTGGGTAACAATGATGAGAACATATCTTCAGACATTAAAAAAAAGAATAATTACCCTGACAATTTAAGTTTTAGCCAACTCTGCTAGATTCAGACACATTTATACTTCAGAAAGTTAATCTATAATATCACCTTTTATTGGTATGAAAACAACTAATTTTTATGGATTTGATTAGATTTCATAACTAATTGATGTAATTACACCTTGGAGGTGATTCTATCGAGTACTCTGTTGGTCAAGTCGTTGCCATGAATTTGTTGAAATAGAGTATTACTGATCATCAAAGGTCTCGGGCACAGTGACTGAGCCTTGTTATGTTCTGTGGGGCTCTGTCCAAAATTTCAGTGATAGAGGCAATCCAGATGTGATGGCTGGCTCTATAGAAGCCATGGAACTTGGCAGATGAAGCCATGTAAATGGGCAAATGAATAAAAGGCATTTCCATCTTTGTATACTAGGTGTTTTTCACTCTTGGAAAGGTCAATGAGTATGAAGTAGTATTTGCAATAAATTTGTAGCTCTGGGTTCTTTTGTCATTGCTCCTGGTATTGTTAGGGGATTTAAACGGTCACTTCTCTTATTGTTTGGAATTTTCTGTAAGTATTCAATTTATTTTTGGAAAATGTTTTAGAATTGTTTTTGGTCCCCCCCTACCTTTATACATTTAAAGTCAACTTTAAAAATGCCAAGACTATCAGTCAGTTGGATTATTTCATTATATCAGTTGGCAAGTTAGTTTTCAGTTCTTACACATGTGTTCAAATTGGTGTCTAAATGATAGATTGTCTACCAGTGTTTCATTCTTCTCTCCAACAGTTCAATTTCATTATGTTTGCAATTTGTGTGGTCTACCATACTTAATATATGCCTATAGAAATCTTTTTGTTATTGTGTCTCATAAGCAGCACATGGGAAATTGGTTCCCATTAGTAAATTTCCTACATTCCAAAAACATCTTTGATATAAAGGACAAAATTTCCATTATTATTGGACGAATCAAAAAGAATATAAATAATACAAAGCTGGTTTATAAGTTGTTGACATAATTTCATGGATCTTGCAACATTAAAAAAATGAAGTCTGTAAACCTAATTAATGGGGTCTCACCTAGTGGTCCTAAGACCTTTGATCCAATGCTAAAATGTGTATAGGTCTTTGAGTTCTCCATTAGATACATAAACATACTGTGTACTGAGATTTTTTTTTTTGTACTGGGGATTGAACTGAGGGGCACCCAACCACTGAGCAACATCCCCAGCCCTATTTTGTATTTTATTTAGAGACAGGGTCTCACAGAGTTGCTTACACCTTGATTTTGCTGAGGCTGACTTTCTTGCAATTCTCAGACCTCGGCCTTCCAAGCCACTGGGATTACAGGCATGTGCCACAGAGCATAGCCATGTACTGAGATTTCTAAGTGAACTGATTTAAGAGAAAGATTTGAATGGGGAAGAGACAGAAAAGACTGCTTGAGGATATTAAATAGCTAATATTGGGAGCAGGGAAGATGGACATGGAGGAGACTGGAAACACCAAACATAAGCAAATCTGCTTTGCTAAGTGCCTGCTCTAAATATCTCACCAAATGTCCTGCAGGGAAAAACCCAAATAGTAGTGCTAACATGGGTACCTGAAGAGAAGATCGTTCACATTTTGTCAATTTTGGGTTGGAAATATGATATATGTTTTAAAGTTTGAAAGGTAGGGTTGCGAACATATCACTAAAAATCTCTCCTAGACCTTGGGGTTGTTTTAATTGAGGCTGCTTTGAAAGTCTGACCCACGTGCTTCCTGAGCTAAGAAGCTTTCGTTTTGGGTTCTTGAAAGTCCAAATCTCTTCAACCATCCTGCAGAACCTCCCTGCCTTCTTTAATATCTGAAACCCTTGTCAGTGAACTCAGAGCTGTAAGCTTCAGTCTGGAAGTAGGCTGAGGGAAAGAGGTGGGATCTAGTGGAAATTCAAGGACAATGAATCTGAAAGGTTTGATTTGGGGAGAGACACAAGGACAGGAGATGCCTGTGTTCTAACCCCAGGCATTTGAAGAATAACTGCCACCATTTATCCTTTATTTAAAAATGATGCACTGTAGAACACCTCTGTCTTCCCGAGGGGAGGTTAGTATTAACCCCAGCTGTTCTTTACCGAGTTTGTGATTTTAAATATGTACATATCATTAATTATCTCAAAATAACATCCCTTTAATTTTTAGCTTAAATGTCAAAGGAAATCATTGAGTCAGAGATACACAAAACTAGCTGAAGTTTCAGTTAGTTTATAACACCACAACCATATTATCTTAGGTGAAGGAAGCTTAGTGGTTCACAGATGAAGAACCTGAGGTCTAGAAGTAGAATGACTTGCCCAAGTCTTCAGAGCTGTGCTTTTTCTCTCTTGGTGTCACATGACCCTCAGCGCCTATTTGGATTGACTTAATTCACCTTAAAGAAAAAAAAAAAGCTTCCTTAAAATTACTATAAAAAGTCAAGGGCTTGTCATAAATTTTTAGCCCTAAAATTCAAATTAAAATATAAGAAAAGTCATACTTTAATAAAGACCAGCATTAGCTTGTTACTAGATAAAACACTACTGGAACTTATTTGGAATCTGAAAGAAGTTTAAAAATAACTAAAGGCAAGGATGAATTTTGCAGATCTACAAAATGCAAGTTGGCTTGAAGAAACACACGGTAGGAATTCAAAGAGAAGACACCTGCTTATGTTAGTCCCTGCTTACTCAGCGAGCTGCCTACCCACCTGTTCTACTAATGAGCTTTTTCTTACCAAACCCCTCCCAGTACGGCCTTAGCTTGACAACCTTATGAAGTGAAGAGGTTATTGTCCTGCTCAGCATGAGCAAAACAGTTCTTTAGTTGAACTCTAATGTCATGCATATTTCAGAAATTATCTTCATTATTTTTTTCTGCCATAACTACAATCTTTACCACTTTCAAAACTTGGGATGACTCCTGAAGCTCTCCGCATCCGAATCAGAAAATAATCATTCACCTTGAACCAGCTCACCTTGCTTTCCCTCTTCCTTTAATATTCTGCCTTGAAATGGACCTAAGACTTGAAGTGTCCTGGGTAATAATGTGGTGCATATGGAGGAGGAGAACAGATAAAGCAGCATATTTTTAAATATTTTAAAGATGCGTTTTTTTTAAACTAATACTAATACTATTAATTTGTGTTGCAGGAAAGATTCCTGGGGAAGGTTTTCTTTTTAATTTTTGTATAGAAAGTTTAGTGAGAGTGCTCTTAGGAACTATGATTGTGATGTAAACAGAGGGAGAAATTGAACCACAGTGTAGTCACAGTGAAGATCTCTGATTCCATAGAGAGTTCTGTAGTGGATGTCTCTATGGAGTTGACCAAATGGAAGCAAGAAAGCAAATACCTTTATACCCTTATTTGGACGTGGTCTGGCTGTGGAGTGGGGTGTGGGTAGTGTGAATTTGTGGAATGGGGTGTGGGTAGTGTGAATTAAGACAAAGGGCTCTCCTTAGCTGGCCAGAGTGAATCCCAGAGATAAACTTAGCTAAAATTCATCACCTTCTCACACTTACAGAAGGCATGGAAGGAGTATTTCATTCCTGGAGGGTGGATCTGGGCAGAGCGCTCTACCTGGCACCTACAATAGTCAGATCCACAGGCTTCAGATAATAAGCTCCTCCTGGGTCACATAGACCATTCTAGGAAAATTATAAGAGGACAGTTAGTGAGATAAGCCCTTACTATAGTGGCTTCAGCTGGTCTCAAGTCTATAACTTAATATGTCTCTTCCACTGTCTACTCTAGATTCTACTTACCTTTACCCAGTGTCTCTGCTAGTCTAGATTTTATATTCGTTGATATGACTGGGACCCTCATCTCTGATGTGTCTGAGAAAGTTCTTCACAGTATATAGCTGCTGAAATTGCTCATTTACAAGCAAAATTGTTCCAAAGAGTACACAGAGAAACTGAAAAAGTTCAGCAGGATGCCCACATGTTCTTTCAGGCTTTCACTGGGTAACAGCAGTCTACTTCCTCCTGCTGATCCAGTCAATTATTCCTGCTGGGCTATGACTCCTTTCCTTTCCTATTGGTCTCTAACCCTACAGAGTCCACTGTTTGAAAGAAAGGGAACTATATGTTTTTCATGTTGGCTACTGAGAGAGTGATGGTACCCACTCTTTAGTTCCTAGCCCCTAATGTTATTTGTTGGGAAAACAGCACTGTTAGAATGTAGGGTGTGAGACTACACTTTGGAAGAAGATTCCTCAGTCTCCCTTTGTGTCATTTGCAAGTTGGTGCTTCATCTGTTCCTTCTTGGTAGCACAAGCTTCAATGGCTTGTCTTGTCATCTGACCACTGCAAAATATGTGGGATCCTGTGTCAGTGGGTCAAACGCTGTGTAAACTCAGAGAGGGAATCTAGATTAGACCTTGTAGGCTGGGAAGCCAAAACATACGCAGAATAATTCTACTCCTTCTTGAGGAGCGGTGCCCTTAAGGTTGCTCAATTCATGCATCTACTGTGGCAGAGTGAAGTGGATAATCCAGTCAATTGATGTTGGCTTTCCAATGTCAATTGACTGTATTATTCAATGTGGATGTGTACTGCTCTTCTGAGGTGGTTACTATTGATGGGAGTTCATATATAATCAAAGGCCTTCACATTCTATATGCCTATTTCTCAATCCTCCTTTCAAATTTTATCTTAAAGGCCCTTACCTTAACAGTAAAGCTTTTTTTCCATTGTCCATGAATCTGTGTATATTCTAACATTGGGGAACTTGAATTTCTCTTTTCATACAATCTATATTTTTTATAGACCATTACCCAAAGTGGCCATTCACTTTGTATGAGCAATTCATGTGCCTCCAGCAACAGCAATCAAACTCTCTGTACGTTATGAATACTATATTTCATATTTCATCCTGTTGATTTACAAAATTAATCTAACAAGTTCTCTATTGTAAGTTGTGTTCTCCTACCTTTTTGCAAATATAAATAACATCAGTGTAAATTTAAATTGTAGATCCCTAATCTAAACATATTGAAAAGGGTTCTCTTTTCTTGTGTGAATTCATAAGTAAATAAATCTTTATCAGAAAAAGTTTCTCTATTTTCCCTTCTTAAAAATCTGGGCCTAGTAGTTGTGATGAAAATAAATCACAGCTGGGAATCTTCTGGTTTTCATATGTTTTTATTTTAATTCTGTCACTCATCAGCTCTGTGATTTTAGGTTAGTTAATTAAATTCTCTGAACCTAAGATTTTATTATTAGTAAGTGTGTAACTCCTGCCCTTATCCCTTACATCCTTACATCTTTATTGTAAAACAAAACAAAACAAAACAAAACAAAAAAGCACTTTACTAATGTAGAAGGGATCAACGGTTATGTCGTGTCTGGGACAGGATCAGGAGAATTGTACAATGAACAGAAATAGAGAAAAAGCAAAAACCTTTTCTCTTTCAAACTGTATCCCAGTTTGCCTAGTTTCAGGATCATACATATTTGCACAAAGAAATAAGAAAAATACAACTCATTAGTTTTGCTGCAAAACAGGCAGGGGCTTTTGCTTGCATAGCAACCAGCAGCAGGATAGAGGAGAGCAGGTTTCAGCTGTTGGTCCAGATGCTTGCTGATATTCACAATGTCAACAGAGCATCTGGATGGTTCACTGAATCTCCCATCCATCACCAAGATGCTTGGTTTGGTGTGGACAAAATTGCAAGTTGATCATAGGAAGGAAAATAATGCACATCAACAGAAATACATAAAATTATATGTGTTCCCAGTCTAGTATGCTTGAATGTGAATGTCTCTCCTGATACCCTCTTAAGTGGGAATATTAGGCAGCCTATTAAAACAGCAGGAGCAGCCATAAAGACAGAAGGGATGCAAATGATAACAGGATAAATGGTCTTTCATTCTATTGCAAATAAGCACAAGCAAACCTTTTAAAAACGGAGAACTCTAGGAACCATCCCAAGCTGGTATAGGTTTATTTGTTTCATCTAAAGGTTTTCAAACTGTGGCCTTTCCAAAAGCCAAGGATCATCTAATTAGTAGGGGAGGAACCCACAAATCCTTGTTTCTTTTCCAAGAATCTGAGAATATGACAAGATGGGAGCCTTTCTGGACATGATGCCAATGATTTAAAAATTCCAGGCCCTAACCTGAAACTCAAATCAGTGCACCCAGATTCAAGATTGGGATGGGATGTGAGGGGATTTAGATGACACATTAATCCTCTACCCCCAACCATGTAAGAGAAGGGAAGTGAGTCACACATTTTTCTCAAGGGAAGAGGAAGTAAATCTGCTTAGACCCTTATTCTTTTCCTTTTTCTCCTCTATTTCTGTAGCTTTGTGAGAACTTTGAAAATGTGATTGATTCTTTTTAATAGTGAACCTCTTTTATTTTGAAGCTTCTCATTTATTCCATATTTGTTATAAATATAAATCACCTAATACATGATAACTGGAAACACAATAACATTAGCATATTTCATCCAGTGTGTGCTTATATACATATTAGGCAACCAAGAACCCACAAAATGTGCAGAGTCCTTTTACTTGCCTTTTGCTTATCTCTCATTCAGTCCTCCACCCCCCTACAGTGTGACTCCCACTCCTTCCTACAAGATAATTGAAATGTCTTTTGCCAAAGTCAGTGATGACTTCTTTGCTGATAAATTCAAGAGACAGTCCTTATCTCATCTACCTCTCAGCAGCATTCCACATGCTGACTGGTTTCTCCTTGAAAAAGTTGCTTCCAAAAATACTTGGACACCTTGCTATTTGGCTCCCCCTCCACTTCTCTCCTTTGCCTCTTTCTTTGGTCCTAGGCTTTCTTTCTCCACCCCCTCCCCTCCCTCCCCTGCCCTTCCCAATCTCTTTTTTCCTCTCCTGTTCTCACTCTGCTCAATCTGAGTAAATAGATCCACTCTGTTTACTGATAGCTCCACAATCCCTCATTCTGTATTTACTACACAGCTCCTTATATATCTGATTGATTTGAAATTTATATTTTCATCTGAATTTTCACAGCTAGAGGCTACTCCATATATCAAATTGCCCCTGGGTTGCCTGGATGTTGTTGCCTCACAGGTGCCCTGTTCCAGAATAACCAAAGAAAAGCTCATCATCTTCCCCCACAAATTGGACTCTCCTGCATTTTGCCTTCCTCACTGAATGGGACCAACACTCAACAGTGTGAGTCAGAACTATGGGTGGCACGGTTACCACTTCTTTTGTCTCATATTGTGCACATTGAATTAATCACCCAGTTCTATGGAATGTAACTCAAAAATATTTTCAAGTATATGCCCTGCCTTCTTCCTCCATGGATATTCCACCATTTCTCCCCAGATTAGCATATAACTCTCTTTTCAAGCTTGCAAAAATTGGAAGGGTCTGCAAATTCGCTGAGTTTTTAGAAAGCAAGTCTTAATGTCTGCCAAAGAAGGCTCCATCGGTTGGGCCACAACAGCGCTTCACATTTTCCTTGTGGATACCTTTCAGTTCACATAGAGTGTGCTTCAGAGGGAAAGTTAAGAGCTCCTTCTACTTCTGATCCCCTCTCTTTTCTTCTAATGATCCCTTCTGCTCTTCCCTCACACTCTCATGTTAAGTGCCTTAAAACCCTCGAGATTCCAATGCTGTCTCCCAGCTCATTCATAGGGCCTCACCAGGTCATAGCCAAAGAAACCTGTAGACCACGAAGAAGATGGACACACTTGTCTTTGGTTAGTACTGAATGCCTCTCTTGGCACAACTTTTCCATAATACCATACTTTCCTGATCTTTCTCTCAAGGATGGAGAGGAAGAGGGAAGAAGAAGGGACAGTGGCATCATTATATTGGCCTCCTGATTGGCAGCCTCCAAGTACTTAGGGTGGAGGACCTTCCCACTCTTCCCACTTCCTCTCTCCCTGTGCCTTTCCCTCAGCCAAGCAGGATTCTTTCAAGTTCTTCACCATCTAGACCTATGATCTCTATCCCTTGCACATCTTATCTCCCCTGCCCAACTCAAACATTCATTGAATCTCATTTTTTTTTGTCTTAAAATGTTCTCTCTTTCCTTCCCAGTTCTTTAAGTAAATACAATTCAGTGTGACCCAAGTCTCATCTGGGTGTTTCTTTATACCATATCTTGTTTAGTTTTATTTGTTTATCCAATCCTATCAATAGCAGGGGGATAAAATAACAAACTTCAATTGAA